AAAAAAAAAAGAGGTTCAAACATGCTCTTAATCTCTACCAAACAGGGTACAAGAGTCTTTCAAGTCCACTTTCATCCCCTTCTAAGCCAGAGCCCACAGGTTCTGAGTCTCTCAAGTCCACTGCCATGAGCCATCGCTATCTAAACCAGTGAAGTCATCGGCAGGCTGCTAGACCCTGAAAGGTCAATGCTTTCATATTTTTACCCGCTAGTTTCCCGTGTCAAATAATTCATTTCGAAAGCAAATTCTAAAATGACAGCACTTATCCCCTTGCAATGCATTTGTCAAAGAAAATCACCACCCTCCATCAATCACACATTCTTTAAATTGACGGTTATGATTTATCTGTCATTCCATCTCTCGTGATTAGGTTATCAAATTAAGGAATATTCCAAGAATTATGTGAAAAAGTTAAGTCAAGGAATCATCAGCTAAGAGTATTATATATAGAAGAAATCTGATCGATCACAATGCTATGCTTCAAGAAAATTAAAGAGCAATCCAAGAAGACGAAAGTATAGCCCAGAAAAGAGGAGCATCACCAATGGCTTCTCCTTCTCGGAGTAAGTGTCAAAACCCGATTCTTTTTCCGTAATCATTCTTGTGGATATGGATTTGTATTTGTGTCAGTTTATATTTTATATTTATTTTCTAAATGTGTAGAAATCCATATGTTTATCGGCATTGTTATGTATTTTGTGGCTTTTCAGTTTGGCAAGTGGGTCTGTAACGACCGCTGTCTTCCCCTACAAGCCCTTTGTTTCAGGTGCTATTCCGTGCATCCTTAGCATACGTATGGTCCACTGGGGTTCAGCCCAGCATGGATTTAATTCGCGTCCTAGAATAGCCCTTGTGCGAAATGGCTTGTAGGGGAAGTCTATGGTTGTTACATAGTCACTTATCTTAGATGGATTTTATATATCTTGAACTCTTTTCTTCGTGTGTTGAAGATATGTTTGACTAGTAATTTAACTATAATTTATAGCTTTCGTTCATTAGACCCCGCTCATTTTTCAATTTCAATCAAGTCGCTAAAAAAGTAAAAAATCAGATGGAATTTGGCTTTAAGTTCAGTATGAATTGTACCCTGTTTTTGAATGTTGGCAGGCAAACGCTGTTTGAATTTATTGCTTCTGAGATATAATATGTCACATAAAACTAAAAGAGAATGTTGCGCCACCGAAATTAAACTGAAAAAATCTGGTGTTTTATTTAATGAGTAACGGATAGTGGTCAGTAAGTACTTAGACAACCAGGCTCTGATACCATGAACGAAACGAGAGAAAGAATGACTTTATTTCGTTAATCAATCATATCAACTTACATCATCTTATATTACAATAACGGAACTAAAAAAGGAAAAATTAAATCTCCTAATTGGAAAGAATATTTACAGCCGATAACTAATCAGTTTACACCAAGTATGGAAAGATTTTTGATCTCTTTCCATACACGATTTCCTACAACTAGTGATACTCATTTTTCAAATGAAGATGATCTTAAGAGTGTAATGTATTAATTTGATTTTGATTTAATTCCTGGTGATCACATCACATTATTGTTACCACCGAAAATGTTGACTTGTAACTTAGGAATATTTATTTGTGGAATACAACCACTTAAATTCTGGAAGTTCGTGCTGTTTTGAACTTGTGTCTAGGTAAAGAACATGTTGGTACCTGATACGCCTTCATCGATTGTTGAACCACCACATCTTAACTTGTTAGAGAGTAGATGAGCATATTTTATTTAAAATATGTCTTCAACACTACACCTCAAGCCTTTTCATCAAATTCCTGACATGGGAACATTTTTTAAATGAATGAGTAGGCTGTGCCAAGACTTGAACTTGGGATCTTTATCTATTTTGATCAACATTGAACCGGCCTGTCTAAAGCTTCATCTGTTAGAGAGTGGAAAAACTTATTTATTTATACTATGTCTTCAACATCATACTCAAATGTGCCATCTATTAATGCACTTTGCAGGTGTTTTCCCTTTCATTTTTATGCTACTCCTTGTTGGGTGCTCTGCAAGACCTCTTTACCCACTCCCTAGTAGGAGACACAATGGAAATCGACAGCCCCTGCAAACATTTCGTCCATATAACATTGCACATCGAGGATCAAATGGAGAAATTCCAGAAGAAACTACCGCTGCGTACAAGGTATTTATATATGATGATGATCTGCAAATCCAAGTGTTTGCTAGAAAATATTTCTTGTGAAATTTCCTGCTCATTGTAAGTAATCAGTCGGGTTTGCATCATTGCATGCATCACCTTTCAGAATTATTATTTCACAAAACAACCAAAACATCTTGGTTTATGCACATTTAAGAAGCAAAAATGACTAATCAAATTATAATTTTTTTATTAAAATAAACAGTTTTAGTATTCAAACTTTTGACGTCAAGACAGAACTAAAGTAGTTTTCTCTACATGACACATTAACTTGCAGAGAGCCATTGAAGAAGGAACTGATTTCATAGAAACAGACATTTTGGCCTCCAAAGACGGTGTTCTTATATCCTTCCATGATGTATGTCTTGATGATACAACTGATATAGCTGAACACCTGGAGTTCGTCAACCGTAAGCGGACCTATGAAGTTCAAGGGCTCAATCTTACTGGCTACTTCGTAGGTACAGACTCTGGCAATTGTCAAACTTGCATTATTATTTGCAGTATTTTCTTACAGTGTTTTCTTCAAATTCGAACCGTTCAACTTTAAGTTGTTATGTCACGATGCTTCTATATGTTTTTTTTTTTGGTTCCTGATTATTATTTTCCTGCTATGCATTCAGAAGTAGTTGAAACAATATATAATTCATCTAAAATGACCATATATTTCATGATCACTTTTTGGTTATGACATGCAGTTGATTTCACACTAAAAGAGCTAAAGTCATTGCGAGTGAAGCAGAGATATCATTTCCGGGATCAGCAGTATAATGGTCAGTCCCCTCGTCATTTGCACCTCTTACCGTTAAATTTACCTACAGATATAATCTTCTATACTTTGTCCTTAAACATGGTTCGTAACGCATAAGATCAACTACATTTAAGCTTTGAACAACGTAAATTTTCATATTTTGCAATAGATGAACATAAGGTTCTTAAGCCTATCATTTAACTAATTAGGAATATAGTCGTCAAGTCAATCTAAGGAGGGTTATGCACTTTCATAATCCACCAAAATTGCAGGAAGAGAACTTCTGGAGATTTTTTATATACTTTTGAATGGAAGGGAACTTTTATTGAAGTCAAAACAAGCTTTTAGAAAACCTGTTGAAAAATGTTTAAGCAACCAATTCAATGGCCCAAGCAATTACAATATAGAAAGCATTTTTGCTTAATATTCAAGATTAGAGGCTTTCTCCGGAGCTCCTTTTCCAATCCCAGTAACTAGGTTCTATCCAACTGCATATTACTTCAAAATTAGTTTGTTGTACCCCCCACGATACAATCACTATCAGGCATATTTTTGATAAAATTGGGACTTATTGTGCATTCCCTATTACAAATTATTATCATTTTGATATTTATCCCGTCCGCTGTTGCATTGCATTCAACTTAGGTGAGTTTGGTAATAAGCTCTGCTTACAAACAAAAATATCTTTTTGTCTTTCTTTCGAAATACACGATTAAGATTTAAAAAATCAATCTTTAATCTTCTTGTCAGCAAATCCCCAAGTAAATGTGTCTTAGACTGGTGATGTAAAAGGAAAACGCTGCTGTGCTTGATGAAAATATTAATATTTTTCATGTAAATTGGTTACTTCATTCTATGCAGGAAAATTTTCTATTATTACATTTGAAGAGTTCATTTCAATTGCATTGGATGCCAACCGAGTTGTTGGAATATATCCCGAGATGAAAAATCCAGTATTTATCAATCAAAGAGTGAGTTTCCATAGTTTTTCTTAATTATAATCAGTTTATAGTTTCTAAAAGGTGTTTACTAGAAATGATTTTCTACTTTCCGTGTTTTCATTAGGTAAAATGGCCGGGCGGTAAGAAATTTGAGGACAAGTTTGTGGAAACTCTCAAGAAGTATGGATACAGAGGTTCTTATATGTCAAAAGAATGGTTGAAACAACCAGCTTTTATTCAGTCATTTGCTCCTACTTCTCTTATCCACATTTCGAACCAGTCCGATCTGCCGAAAATTCTTCTAATTGATGATATTACTATGCCGACTCAGGACACGAATCAGGTTTCTTGTTTTCTCTTTAACTTTCCTTCATGCTAATTCTATAAAAAAATTATTTTCAAAATATGTACTTCTGATAGTACATTTTGCACGTCTAATTTAGTAAATTGCAATGTTACTAAATATGTCACTAATTTCTTCTTCCCTCTTTTCTATCTAAAATACTCACCAAAATTGAAATTTGCTTATGACTTTTGCTCGATGTGTGGAGATTAATATATTATACACTTTTCCCTTCGCACATGTATTAGGTCACCCTAATATTTTCCTCCAATATGAAGGATATTAAGGGGAGCCTCCTTTCTATCTGTCGTAGTAGAGAGAAAATAAAGAGGCGTGAGTCCAAACATTATACAATCCTCTTATTCGATATAGGGCAATTCTACAGTGGCATCAACTCTCACATTGAGAGTGAACCACCTTGAATCGTGTGTTTTTCTTACTTCCGTTTTTCTGCTTTGTACTATTAATTTCTCTCGATATTATAGACTATTCGTTTAGTCCATTACAACCCCATATTTTATATTCTAGTTAAAATCGTTATAAATTGTCACATTTGGACAAATATGACCTTAAATTT